AGAGATTGCATTGAAGATATTTTAACTTTAATGTACAGGGTTTAGATAATTTACTGAAAAATAAATGCATTTTATTTAAAAATATTGAGAAGTGAGTATAACAGATTAAATAAATTATTTCATTTTATTTTTTTACTACGTCACGCTTAGCCCACGTACCCCTCCAATCTACTTTTTGTAGCGTTTCTTTGGCAACAATAGACCTACTCTTTAGCGTCACGCATTAATATGTTTTGTATCGATTATATTCTGCAAAATCTAAACGCGAGTTCTGATGGCATGTTTAGATAAATAAAAGTATTAAGTAATCCGTGAAATCGTTAGCCATCCGTCTAACTGAATAGAGATAGTTAACGAGATGTCTTAGAACTTTATATCTCTAGTGATGTTGAGTTATAAAAAAAACAAATTTCTATAATTTTTTGCTACATTGTTATTATATCAAATTTTTATTCTTTTAATCAGTATATATAATATAAGAAGTATTATATTCTACTTAAAAACGCTCTCATGCTGAAAGTAAGATTTAAAAAAATCTTTTTTGTTACGATACTTTTTTACATATGCAAATTAACTGTTTTATATCGTTATCGTTGTTCTTGTCTTTGTCGTCGTCATCATGATCATCATCATTATTGTCATCATTGTTATCACCACCATCATCATTATTATTATTATGATAATAATGATGATGGTGGTAATAACAATAATGGTAATAATGATTGTCATTATTATTACCATCATCATCATCATCATCATCATCATCATCATCATCATCATCATCATCATCATCATCATCATCATCATCATCATCATCATCATCATCATCATCATCATCATCATCATCATCGTCATCATCATCATCATCATCATCATCATCATCATTATCATCGTTGTCATCATCATCAGCATCATCATTATCACAATAAGTATAAATAATGTTATAAATTATTAATTTAAATAATTTATTATTCAAATAATTAAATCTGTTGTTGACAGTTTTCAAAATTTTTGAAATTATGTGTATTAAGATTGGTTAATGACTACAACCTCATTTTAATGCTTTTGTAATATTCATCCATTAAATTTGCATCCATTGTAAGTTATTTTTATGTGTACAGATTTAACTTTTATTCACAAATCAAAGCCAAAAAAAAGCACATTTCAAATTAATTATATTTAAATTAAATGATTTCTTGGAGCTTGAATATGAAAGAAGGTAAAATGCTTTTAAAGTATAACCAATTTTCATTTTGTAAAATATAAATGTTTTATAATCTAAGAAATTCTCCTTCTGGAATATTCTAAGGCTAGTTGAGTTGTATTTTTATTTGTATGTAACATTGTAAGGCGGACTTGTACACGACACACCCCCTATGAGATATTAATAATCGTGACCAAAACTGTCTCAATTCTCACGGTCAATTAATGAATGTATATTTCGTTGTGTTAATCTCTATTTATTAGTCAAATCATTTACATATAATTCCATTTATCACTTGTGATCAATTGAGGTAATTACACTTTAATCAATTAAATTAATTAAATTTACTAGGTCAGTAAAATATCATTTTCGATAAAACGTGTTTTAAACTTAAGGGGGTGCGTCGTGTACAAGTCCGCCCATTGTAATTTGAACATCAGTATATAACTACTTTAAATGTATTTTAAAAATTTCCTTAAAATAATCATAATAAATAAATCTTTATTGTTCAAAGTGTGATTTTATTATTAAAGACTCTTATAAGTAATCACTGTTTGGTTGCCTTATCTGTCTACTGTCTAGGGTGACCGATGTCCCGGTTTTTACGTAGGAGAGCGCAGCACTGAACTAATTTTAGTTAATTTAGTGCTGCGGTCTCCTACGTAAAAACTGGGACAATGGTTACCCTACTGCTGTCTGATATTTATTTCTCAATTTCAGTTGCTCTTTGTGAAGACAAGTTGTCTCAAAATCTTGGATGACTTTAAAGTTACACCACTGGCTTCTTAAAAATGCCAGGTCCTTGATAAAATTGTTAGTAACTGTTGTGAGTTCACAAACAATTAAAGACAAACAAGCTAATAAACAACAAGGTCAATAAACAGTCTAATTCAACAGCTAATAAACAGTCTTGGTTGCTTTATAGGTCAATGGCTCATTGTGGGTCAAAATTTTGTTTGAAGTTAAAGCTGTTGCATGTCTTCTTGATTTTAATAGAGAATTTTTAGCTAAGTATTTAAACAGAATTTTTAGCAAAATTTTTAAACAGAATTTTTAGCAAACTTTCTTGTTATCCCCATACCACTATTTTAGGTGAATATCTTCAATGTTATGCTTTTCATTTTTTCAAATTAAATTAGGATTTTACATTGTGAAGATTTTTTCATCAAGTCTCTCGTTTATCTGTATGATAAATCAAGAAACACCATCTTAAAATATTAAAGTCTATTAACTGATGCAATTTTACATTAATGGTCTCATAGATGACTTTAATAGAGATATTTTGCATCCTAATAGTTTTGAGGAGTCTGTTTTCTTCTTAATGAAACACTTTTCAACCAAATATACTCAAGTTTTCCCATCATTGGGTAAGTCTCTGTGATAGGATCATATAATAACAAATTTTGCATGTAAAAAGACATGAAGAGATGTTTTTCAATATTAATTTCAAAGAATCTTTCTAATAACCCTACTCAACCCTACATTATATGTTAAATGTCTTACATAAGTGTTGTTTAATGCAGATGTAGATCATGAAAATATGAATGCAAAATGATTGTAACAGAAATAAATTACAATCATTAACATGTGTAAAATGAAAGATGTATTTTTCAGATGCATATATATAATATATATGCATCTGAAAAATACATCTTAACTAGTATATTATATTTAACTAATAGATTTATTTTAGCTTTTAAGTATAATTTTTTATGATTTTCTTGTTCTATAAATTTAAAATTATTCGATGTTAATTACTAATATGATATATAACAATTTTTTATTTTGTTAGAATTAATTAATTTGTAATGATGACATTGTGCTGTTGAAGAGTTGAGACACGTTCTATGTTCAACTGAAAGATATAACGATGCCTAACATAACAAATAACTCTAAAGGACAAACTGGTAGTTTGTTTGGAAATAAAAGTAAATATTTTGTTTTTAAATACAATGTAATTACATTTCAAAGAAGTTTTTTTTTTAACTTGGTTTTAAAAATAACAAGCACTCTACTACTACACCACTACCATATTAAAAGGTTTTATAAATGGATGCTATATTTGCTCTACAAAAATGAACTGCTAAAATTTCAAACACAGTTTCAAAAATTAGATTCTTGTTATGAAAAAATTGAAGCATTTTTATTAAATAGAAAATTATTAAGTACCTATTGAGTAGGTTAATACCTATTTAGTATTTTAAGTAAATTGTTTTAATAAGTAGCAGGTTAACTCGTCTACTCGCTATACTTATTAGATGTTAAAGAGCATTTAATTATGCGAATTTCTTTTATTTTATTAGTTGTTAAAGAAAATTATAAGTCTCTTTATAATAATGATAAATTTAACATTGTTAGTGTCCCTTCAAGCGTGCGACAACTGCATTATTACAACTGAGGTAGAGGTAAGAAAGAGCTGCAGCTATGAAATTCACTTCCCCAAGGTCTTGAAGGCCACTACAGTTGAGGAGGCTACTTAAATTATTGTTACAACCCTCTCTCTCAACTCACTATAACTTTGAAACTCGAACCTTGAGCCTGGTACTATCAGGAACGTGGTGGAGATTGAACTCGAAACATCTCGCTTATGAAGCAAGCAAGACACCACTTCATAACTACCTCATTTTAAAACAAAGTGTTTTTATATGAAAAAATGTAAATAAAAGAGAATGTAAATAACTAACTTATGTAAATTTCTAATTATGTAATGTTAAAACTTATACCAAGTTTTTCACTTGAAAATTGAATTGTGGCATTATCTCCTCGGTTTTTATTTATAGAATTTATTTACTGTTTTAAAAAGTTTTTTGTTTATAATATTTATAATATAATTTTTTTGTTAAAATTTATTTTCATTTAAGTGGTTAGCTCCTTGGGTTTCTTATGCAAATCGCCATCGTTCTGATGCAAATCATTATGGTTCTGATGCAAATCGCCATGGTTCAAATCCTTCCACTACCACTTTTTTTTTTTTTTTTTAATCTTTTTCAATTTTTTTAAAATACAAAATAAAACACTTTTGAATCTTTATAAATATTATATACATAACAATATAAAAATATTATACACTATAACAAGCGAAAGGGAGAGAATTATTAAAAAAGCTTATTTGCTGTTTTATAAATTCTTTTGTTTATTAAAAGGTTTTAAAATTTTCATAAGACAACACCTATATGTGGCAGAAGTGGTTAGCTTGCAGCATTTCTGAAGTACATTGTCGTCTACAAATCCTATCAATATAACTTTTTTTTTTTTTTTTTTAAATCTTTTCCAATTTTTTAAAATAAGAAATAAAACGCTTTTGAAGTTTTATAGATGTTATATACATAATATGTATAAAGATATTATGTTCTATAACAAACAAAAGAGTGAGAGTTTTTAAAAAAGCCTAATTTTTCTAAAAACATCAAAATACCAAAAAAAATTTTAAAACTTTATTTTTAAAGTTTTAAAATTAAAAGTATTTTTTGCTAAATTTATTTTTTTGTTTAAAATATATATAGCTAATGTTTAAATTAGAAGTATTTTTTGCTAAATTTATTTTTTTGTTTAAAATATATAAATATATAATATTTATATATAAAAAGTATATAAATTCTATATAAGAATTTGAATTTCTTTTTATAAAAATGTTTTTTGATACAAATTGAATATTAATTTGGTCAGCTAGTATAAAATGTTGCTGTACTGTTTGTTTTTATAATTGAGCCAAACCTATTTGTGGTTATACTTGAGAATTCATAAAATTTGATTCATTATATTAACAGTGCTTTCATAATTTTATATTGTGTTTTAGATTTTCATTCATTTGATAATGGTTTGCGTCCACATATGCTGTATGTTCACTCGTATAAGTCTCCAACATTTTGTGATTACTGTGCAGTTATGCTATTCGGACTTGTTCGGCAAGGACTAAAGTGTGAAGGTATGCGCTGTAAAAGTTTTTTAATTTATACTATTATCTTAATTTATATTATCTTAATATCTTAAAGTATTTTAATTTATCTTATATTATATTATAATAGAAAGGAATTCATTGATACATTTTTATTTTATTTTGTTTGATATTAAACACAAATGTTTTATTTTAGGTTGTAATGGAAATTTTCATAAAAAGTGTGCTTTTAAGATACTTAACAACTGTTCTGGAGTACAAATAAATCGTAATGGCTGTTCAACTTTGTCACCATCTTCCAGAAGTTTTAACCTAGATTCAAATAATTTAGATAAACATACAAAAGATAGAAGAAACACAATTGGACCAACTGATTCTAAGAATATGACAGATATAACCAATATACCACATACATTTGTGGTACATACATATGGAAAGCCAACTCAATGTCATAATTGCAGAAAACTGGTGAGTATTATGCAGAACGCTTGTAAGTATTTTAAAAATATATTAGTGGCTAAAGCATTATTCGAATATTCATTATTGTTTTATTTTTAACAAATTGCTATAACTTTTGTTTAAATTAAAGATGTTTATACATATTTCCTTAAAAGTTTAGCTTTTTTTTTTGTTTTAACTTATGTTTTTAATTATTATTAGCTTATAGGACTGCTTAAACAAGGTTACCAGTGTAAAGGTATGTTAGCATATTTATTCACATGTAATTATACAGTAAAACTTTGCATATATAAATATACATGGAAATATGTAAAAAAAAAAAATCATAATTTTGTGTTTTAAAATTTTTTAATAATATTTTGATAAGAAAATTTCAAAAATAAAATCTTTTTTGTTTTCTTATATTGTTAGTTGTTTTCTGATATTCATTAAATATACCAATAAGTTAATAATTAAAATTGAACATAACACATAAAATTTAAACTTTTATCACAATTTTATTGGGCTGAGTTTAATTATAAAAATACTAATGTAATAGAGTACCGTTTTGCTTTCATTACTCAAATATTGAATGCTGACAAACAACTCAAAAATGTATAACAACAACAATACAAGTTATTCAGCTTTCAATACAAACTCTAAATAACTTTTTGAATTCTTGTTTAATATTAGTGAATTTTAAAGAGCTGTTTACAAAAAAAGTTTATTTAGTGAATTTAAAAGAGAATAAAAAAAGTTTATTTTAAAAAGTTATACTGATAAAAATACAATTTATAAATTTATACAATTTATAATTTGTATTTTTATCAGATAGTTTTCTTTGGCGATAAGTGAAATTTCATAAATGAATGAGTTTAATGAATTTTAATATGCTTAGGGTGGGTACATTTTCCAAAAATTAACAAACTACCACCTCTTCACATTAAGCACCTAAGAGTAAATGCTTTAACAAAAAGAATTTGAAAAGCTCAGAAAAATATTAATTTGCTCTCTTGATTTTTGATTGACTGAAAGATATTTTAAAAATAAAATTATTAAAAATATATTTAGTTAATATGTATATACATTTCTTTATTAAAGTTGCAATTAAATAAAATTAGTACATATTTACAAAAATGTTTTGAATAAGTTTTAATCCTTAATTTTTAAGAAAGCCTAAATACTTCCTAAATTTTTTTAAATTTACTTTTTTTTGTATTAATACTTGTATAAGGATTACACAAAGGACAAAAGAATCTTTAAGTATACATAGAAAAAAAAATAACATGATAAATAAACAGCTAAATTTGTAAAAATGAAATTTAATATTTACAAAAATATTCAAGCACACAAGCATTGTTTAAAGTTTACCAATTATAAAGTAACATTAGCAAATTAAGATGCTAGTGCCGATAAATAAAGCATTACTTCATCAAATAATCCATCAAATAACTTTTGATTGCATCTTTATATGTATCTCAATACATATGTTCATTAAATCGTTCAAAATAAACATGTGCTTTTTAAAATTCTTTTTGATTGCATGACCTCTTCTTTTGTAAACTTTTCACATACTTAAAAATATTGCAAGATAAATAGTTTCTTGTTTCTGTTAAAGCAAGTTTTGAATTATAAATTCTTTTATTGAAAAGAAAAGAATCTTGAAAATTAATATACTCCTTAATTCCACGCTCCCAAAATATACATTACTGATGCTACACTGATATAAAATTTAACAGATAACTATTAGGACTTTGTTTCAATTCTCACACTCTTTGAGCTGAAAATATAAGTTAATAATTTGCTGGTCCAAGAAAGTCATTAAAGTGATAAAATCATATATTTTATGTTCATATGATAAAGGACTAAATGATACAGAAAATCAACAATAAAATCATTGCTATTTCCAGTATTAAAATCAATGATGCTGCATTCTATATTTGTATCAGAACAAATCAATGTTTTCAAATTTCTTTGTTATAATGAATATACTTATTATTTGCATCTATTTTAATATTATTTTCATTCTTTTCGACAAGAAAATCTACAATATGTAAACTTTTTGTTTAAATATATAATTTCAAAAACTTTATTTTTCTTTTATTCTTTTTTCCAAGTTTGTCATTAAATCTTTAGTTCTTCCTATTTTTTTAAATTATACCAGCTGGTAAATGTTCAAGGTAGCAAGAATCTGATGAGAATAAATCCTAATAACATCGGTTTATCGTACTCCTATACATATTTTCCTCTAAATTGGTATTAAGTTTCTTTGCAATTTGTTTTATTTGTCCGCATTTCAATCTCACAAAGCTTTGCAAAAAGTTTCTATTTTTTCCTTTTTTTTTAGATGTCATCTTGAATTGTTTAGTTAAAGTTATTATAAAGATTTGGAGACTCTCCAATTCTTTTTTTTTTTTTTTTTTTCTTTTAGTTTTTTCAGTTTTTTTTGAAAAATAACTTAACTAAAAACAAAAATTTGATATCAGTTTTAGTATAATTATTATTATTTTTTTTTCAAAGATTTATTTGCTTCATTTAAAATAAGTTTTTTTTTAAGTTTCTTTATAGCTAAGTTAAGATTTTTTAACACATTTAGAAATGTATACAAATTTTCAAAACATCTTTAAAATATTTATAATCTTTGTAATAGTTCATTTATAATCTTTAAAGTTCATTAAGGAGGTAATAAAAAACAAACCAAAAAACTAAATTGTGATATAAATAAAAAATTATGTTATGTCAAAGATTGTTTTAAGAAATAAATTATAAGGACTCTTTTTCAAATACCAAAATTAGATTTCATCATAATTTTTGTTATAGATATTGTTTAAATGATTTTTAACGCTGTTTAAAATTAAATTAAATTATAATGCGGTACTTAAAAAAACACTAATGACACAATTAAACTTTTAATGATGTAAATGTCAAAACTGAGTTAAAGTTATATTTAGTAGCATTAATCCTTTTTGTTATGCAATGAAATCTCATAACAAGGCTTGCATTCACTTCCATTTTATATACAACCACAACATCAGATACTTCTAATTTTACCCTGGTAATTCTAAAACAAAGAAATGTTTTCTCTTCCAAACTAAACACTTATTTGTGCACATATTTAAAAAAATATGTACACAATTTTTTAATCTTTTTTTATTTGATTTTTAAGCTAATTTTATTTTTTTTATTTTTGATTTATTACTCATTAAATGTTTGAGGGTTTTAAACAACTCCTAAAAGATTTTATGTTTAGTGTTATTTTATTGTTTTTTTTTAACACCTCTGATATAATGTATATCAGAGAATGTATATAATGTATATACAGCCCTCAGAATTAGGGTCAGCATTTGGTAATGCCAACTTAAATTCCAATTTAAAAGTGTTTGAGGTTGGCAGTTTTTTGCCAAACTTGTTTCTATGGTTATATGTGTTTATTTCTATGGTGTTATGGTAAAACTTTTGTGCTAAAACTTTGTGGCAACCTGATGCTAACTCTAAACTATTTTGAGAGCTGTATGTGTGCGTATATATATGTGTATGTATATATATATGTGTATGTATACATATGTGTATGTATACATATGTGTATGTATACATATGTGTATGTATATATATGTGTATGTATATATATGTGTATGTATATATATGTGTATGTATATATATGTGTATGTATATATATGTGTATGTATATATATGTGTATGTATATATATGTGTATGTATATATATGTGTATGTATATATATGTGTATGTATATATAAGTGTATGTATATATATGTGTATGTATATATATATATATATATATATATATATATATATATATATATTATATATATATAATATGCTTTGTGTAGATTGTAAATATAACTGCCATTTAAAATGCATTGAAAAAGTTGAGAGAAATTGTCATGGTGAGAGAGGTAACCTGTTATTTGTTTTTAATCAGTATTTTTTTTGTTTTAAATGTAATAAGTACATAAAAGAGAATTTAATGTTTTATCAAATATTTTGAGATATTAATGTTTTATCAAATATTTTGAGATTTTAATGTTTTATCAAATATTTTGAAGTTTTAATTGGCATAAGGTTTAAGTTTAAAACAAATTTTGTATTTGTGGATAAGCATGTTTTGATGATGAGTTTTTTCTGACTGGTAGATAAGTTTTATTTTGCTATATAATTGATAAAAATACATTAGATTATACATAAGTTATATACACAGTTAAGGGTTGATGCCAGAAATGTTTAGATTAATGTGTTTTAGTTATGTAAATTTATATACACAGTTAAGGGCTGATGCCAGAAATGTTTAAAATAATGCGCTTTTGTTATATAAATTTACCTCTTTTAAATTTTGGTTTTGTTACAGTCACTGCAATTACAAGAATAAAACTTTGTCTACTTTTTAAGTTATATTTCATAGGAAAATAAATCATTTTTCTTCCATGAAGTATAACTTTATATTCTTATTAAGTCACTACAATTAATAATAGGACTTTTTTTATTTATGTGAATTTTTTTTTTTTTTTTTTTTTCAATTTAGATCAAATTGAAATTATTTCAAAATAGTGAATTTAGATTGAGCCTCAATTTTAATGTTTTGATTTTTTAAGGCAGTTTCTTGTAATCCAATATTTAATATTTAGCTTATCATTTTTTATCGTTTTTTTTTTTTTTTAGTTTTCAGTAAGTTCAGTTGTTACAGTTTTTTGCAGAAAATTTTGCAAATAAGTTGAATTCAAGTGATTTTGAAGGCTTTATTTTTTGATTAAGATAACAAAGATAAAATGATTTGATGTTTTTAGTTGTTTTTTTTGTTTTTGTTTTTTTGCTTATAATGTAATTTTTAATTGCATCAATAAAATTATTCACACTATATACTCATTAGACATTATAGTACTAGCCTTACTGCAATTTAAAATTTCAGTGAAGACTATTGACAATTTCAACAAAAGTTAGTAAATAACACTTGTATTGATAAACTGGGTACCCTCTGTGCTGTATTTGTATGAATAAAAGTTTAAAAAATTTTAAAATTAAGCGTCCTGGATTGTCATTATGTTATTTCAATTATTTGTCAAAAAACAATTACAAAAAATAAGTTTAAGCTTTAACCATCACTGTATGCACACCTTTGATGACCAATGGTCGTACTTATTTCAGTACCTACAACAATATTTGTACTAAATAAACTTAAAAATTTTGTTTATTAACACATGCTAGTAAATGTTATAGTAAAAAAAAAAAATATTTAGTTATAGAAATATTACTTATTGCATTTTACAATATTTGTTGAATGTTTATTACAAACCATCAGTTGATATTCAGTGCATTTCTTATGTGTTTTTTTTGTCGTCTTTTTATTGTTATTTTATAATACATATGACAGGATTTTCTGTGACTGTTGTGTTCTTTTCTGTGATTGCTACTTGACTATCTATGATACTTTTAATGATTACTTTTTTATTACCTAGTTTTAGTAATATATTTTTGCATCACTTAAGGACTCGTCATGCGTGATTCAATCATCGGCTAGGCAATTTCTTCACTTGTTTGTGCATAACGTTTTTTTAATTGAATTCTTTGAGCATAAAAATGTTTTCATAATCATTTTATTATTTTCATAATAAACTTAATATAAGGAAAGTGCAGTGACCTCCAAAATGTTAAAGAATATTGCAACTGGCCATCTTGAACATTGCTGCTGTGTATCTTTTTAGGATTTGATTCATAGTGTAAACACCAGCTTTATATTTGTTTTAATAATTGATAATATATGATTACTTTTTTAATGCTGTGTTGATATTAGAATTACAGCTTTATTTGTTTATTTTTTATAGGTGTGTACATAAACAATCCCAGACCTATTTTGGTACTGCTTGATCGGTATGGGCGTCTAAAAATTTGCCCAAAAAATATTTATTATTTGACTGAAATTTTTACTTGTATTCATTTATTATAAATAAACAATTAACTATTTATTTATAATAAATGAGTTATAAATTTATAATAAACAAGTAAAAATTTCAGTCTTAACTATGATATAGTAATCACTCAAATTTTATTTTTGAATGAATGAACTTTTGTTTTTTAGCTTGCTATTTTTTCTTTTACATTAAGAAAAAAAAAAAATGATCAAAAACTTTTTCAGAAAGTTTTGTTTCTCTTCATATTCTTTTCACAATAATAATAAATATAACTTATAAATATAAATATATCAATAACTTAATAAAGGTTTTAAGACTTGGTTATTTTCAAACTTTAATGTCTTTAATGTTTAAAAAATCCGTAGTAAATGTAACTTATTTAATGTATGCATATATATTAAATGTATGAATATATATTTTATATATATATATATATATATATATATATATATATATATATATATATATATATATATATATATATATATATATAAAATATATATTCTTTTAATCATTAAGTTTACTGTAATCATCTTATTTAATTTTTTATTTAAAAAGCATCTTATACACACACTATGAAAACCTTTTATAAAAGTTAAGCTTATATTTAAATCAAAATGAAAATGAAAATATTTGTAAATACACTTATTAAAGGCTTATGTTTGTAATTCAATAGTTATTGTCTATATATACTATACTATATTATATTATATAGAGAGAGTAGCTATTTGCCTAGTATGTTAATTTTGCCAATACTATGCAGTTTGTTAATATTGTAAATATTAAAATTTGTTAAAGTACTTTTAACATTTAATAAGTATAAAAATTAAAATAAATTTACTAAATGTAACTTAAAATAAAAAAGATTTTTAAGTTTATGTTTTCAAAAAAAATGCCTTTTATGAACAGCTATTTAAATCAACTACTTATCTTCGGATGAAATTAAACAAGGTGAACACAAATAAAGTGATATTTAAAAATCATTGTTGTGATACTGGGAATTAGGGGGGTTTTAACTGAGGGGGAAGAGAGTTAATCTTTTGCCTTTCTCTCTCCCCCTAAGGTGCAGAAAAAACCCTGCTATCAACAAATGAAAACCAAAAACTGTTGAGAATTGTATTGTAATTTACTTGTTGCCATAACATTAGTGATGTGTAGTTTATGTCTTTTATTTTCCCAACAATAGTAAGATTTAATAATAAAAAGTGTTTTACAACAGCTAGAGTTATAAAGAAATTATCCATGCATTTATTTTTTTCTACCTTTGTTGTATAGAGATGCTAAGTCTTTTACGACTCCCTGATTTTTCTTCTGAATGTCATTCTTTTTTTGCCAGTATAAATTGTACCCTACAAAGAATACACTTTTTCAGCATCGCAAATCAACCATATTTTGATACTATGATTAGTCTGTTTTTATGGTATATATTGAATAAATACTACAAAAGGATATATTCATCACAATCACTGCTTGGAACTGACTTATATTTTTACATTGGTTGTGACTATTACTACTTGGAGGTGACTTACCTTCTTACATTGATTGTGAGTATTACTTTTATCAAATTTAAAAATAATGTATAAATTTTTGGAACTCATTAAGTTGCATATCTACATTTATAGTTTATATTGGTAAAAGAAACTTATTGTTGCATGATCATATTTTCAATAAAATAATTTTTAAATGTTTTGGTTATTGATAGTGTCTTTGTGTTATGATAAAGACCACTTTCCTGATGTAAAAGGGTGTGAGCTCCCATTTGATGTTGATTTGGTAGATTTTCCATTGCTTTATTTTTTTTTGCTTCACTCTACCTGAAGAATCAGTTATTGTATTGTTTTAATAAATTTAAATATTATAAATTGTCAAAATGATATAAAAATGTCAAAACTAAATAAAATTACTTTCCAAATATTTACAAATATTGCATATATAAATTTAATCATATATAAAATTTAATTACCAAGCAAATTCAGCTTTAGATATTCCTGATGTAGATGACAATGACAACCCAGTTTTTCAGCAAAACCATGATGAGGAAGATGGCTTTGAAAAACCATCTGTGTCTGAAAATAATATTCCACTTCAAAGAATTGCTAGTTTATATAACAGCAATTCACCTCGTAATAGAAAAATCAGAGGTTCAAAGATATTAAAATCAGATTGGCTGGTCCATTTTACTGAATCTGACAAAACGGTAGGGTCATATATATATATATATATATATATATATATATATATATATATATATATATATATATATATATAATAACTTTATTGTTATGTTTTTGACAATTTGATTGTTTGTTGCATTATTTATTTGTTTTTATACTAATAATAAGATATATATATATATATATATATATATATATATATATATATATATATATATATATATATATATATATATATATAATAACTTTATTGTTATGTTTTTGACAATTTGATTGTTTGTTGCATTATTTATTTGTTTTTATACTAATAATAAGATATTTTATGTAGTAACAAAGAAATTTTGCGGTTAAATATAAACTATTTTATTTTATTACTAGAAAAAAGTACATTATTGGCGATTGTATACAAAATGCATTTGCTTGTATCAATCAGATACTGCTAAAGAACCTATCAAGGTATTGTGTTTATTGCTTTGTTTTAAACCAGTATATAGTTTATATAATTATTTTAATGTTATTGTTTTTATTTCTGTTTTATATTTATAAAATTAGGTAACTTTTAAGCAGTCAGTTTAGTACAACTTTATTTAAGCAGGCAGACATTGATAGCGTTTAAAATAATATCTCAAATAAAATCATATCTTTGAAATGATGACTTGGTGCTTAAATAAAAGTTTAAATTAATGTTGCTTAAACATTTAGGAGTGAAAACTGATACAACAAATATTGATATTGCTCATAGGGTCAGTTGAAAAAAAAATGATAAAAGTATTTAAAATAAGATATATTCTTGTTAGTTCTTGTTAGTTATAATATTTTTAAAAAGTAATTTTTAAAAGTTTTTTTTAACTATTTATCAATAACCAACGTCACTAAATGTCTAAAAGTGCTTGCAGGTAATTTAAATAATAATTCACATAAATAAAAAAAAAAAAAACGTTTATAAATAAAAATAATAATAATAATAATAATATAAATAATAAAGACGCTGAGCAGCGTCCCTGATACACCCTGAGTGTTTTACCAGCAACGTCATATTTGTTATGATCAAATCATGACCATTCTTTTTGAAATTGTTTGAATAAACGTAAGATTTTCACAAGAGCTGTTTATATTTATGTTTTTTAGGAAATACCTTTATCTGAGATAAATGAAGAGCCTATGGTACGTCATGGTCGTGACCCCTATTTATTTATACTCAAAACAAACACAGAAATATATTATTGTGGTGAAGGAGACAGTTATGATGCAAATGGTGCTATTATTGCATCTTCGCCTAACAGTGGTAAAGGTACTCATATCGCTATAGCTTGGTCTGAAAAAATAAGAAATGCGTTTAAATCAGTGGCTGCAAGTCATGAGGTTGAGGAAAATTTAGAGGAGAATGTAGTAAGATTTAATGTCTAATTTTTTTTTAACATTTTTTTACTTTTACTTTGGTTGAAAGTTTTTTTTTTTATTTTTTTATAATTTATGCTTTAAAGTTTATTATAATTTTTTTTTTTTAGGATATCAGTCTAGTGTACCAAATTTTTTCAGATGAGGTTTTAGGGTCTGGTCAGTTTGGTATTGTTTACGGAGGTGATTAGTTATTTTGACATTTTTTAATGATTTATTATTATGCTCTTTTTGTAAATAATTAATTATTCCATATATAATATAGTAGAATTTTTTTTTTTTTTTTTTTTGCAAGTATTAAAATTTATTCATACTTTATATTTATTGAAAAATGATTATCTTAACAAAAACACTGTGTGTTAACCAACTTAAACAGGATTTGTTTAAGTTGGTTAAACACTCTTGAGTGGAAATACCAAATGATGTTTTAATTTAGTTAATGTAATGATGTTGTTGCGACAAAATGTTTATTTTAATAAAAAAATGTTTATTTTAATCTTATTCTAATTGAGATTCTAATTATTCTAATTATTCTAATTATTAATGATAAATGAGATCAATTTGTTGTATTGATCTATGTGTTCTCACTATGTGTTATAGAATGATAAATAATGAGAGCAATGCATAGATCAATACAACAAGCTGTTTTTATTAACTTAAATCTTTGATGAATTATGAGAATTCATTAATGCTATAGAATCTTTAATTATTCTACTTTTTTTTTGATGCAGACTCTAGCCAAATAGGTAACATTGGTAAGGAAGAAGATGTGAGGTTCCTGGTTAAATGCTGTTCTTTTCTGCTTAGTGATAAGACTGTCGAGTCTTCTTACATCAGCTTAATAATTTAAAAAAATGTAGTTTTTTTTATAACAACTTTTTTAAGTTTGAACATTATTTTAAAGGTCAAAGTTAGAATAATTTTCTAAAGTTTAAAAAAAATATAATTTTCTGAAATTTAACAAAAAATCATAGCTTTTTATAATTTTAAAGCTGCTGAGACAAGGATTGCACCTAACAAAACATTTTAATATTTTAATTAAGTATAATTCAACATATCAATGTAAAAGTTATCAATATGACGGGCTATTCTAGGAAAAAATTGGGCAACGATAACCCTACACATGTACACACTCATCCCAGCGAAATTTAGCAGAAATATCCCAAATATGAATGTTACTTTGTGAAAAAAGCAATATTTGCTGTAAACATTGTTAAAAAAAAAAGTTTCTCTAATTTTAATTTGGGCGGCGCCCAAATACAGTCAACGCTGTCGAACTGTCATCTCATCTCATTTCTTCATATATCTTATCCCATCTCATTTCTTCATATATATATATATATATATATATATATATATATATATATATATATATATATATATATATATATATATATATATATATATATATATATATATATATATATATATATACTCTTGCATGTCTCTTGCGTGGCATCAAAAAAAATTTCCCATAAACTGTAGTTTTAAAGAGCGCGTTAATAAACCAGACCAGAAAAAGTTTTGAAAATTTAAAAATTAAATTTTTTTTTTTAATTGATAGACTGCCTGGCCAAACCAAACCCTCAGTCGATGTAGCAGCACTCTCTTGCGAGTCAGGCTATTTGTCAGTCGTTGTAGCAGCACTCCCTTGCGAGTCAGGCTATTTGTCAGTCGATGTAGCAGCATTCCCTTGCGAGTCAGGCTATTTTTCAGTCGATGTAGCAGCACTCTGTTGCGAGTCAGGCTATTTGTCAGTCGATGTAGCAGCACTCCGTTGCGAGTCAGGCTATAAGATAGTCGATGTAGCAACATTTACGCATGTTTTAAAAATGTTTTTTATTAAATCAATAACAAAAACACCACTAATTAAAAAAAACTTTCTAGTCGTTATAATTGCGGTTTTTTAAAAAAACAATTAAATTTAATGTACTTCCGCATAAATTAATTGCTTTGACATTTCGATGACAATCAAAAACAGCTTAAGAGACGAGGTAATTAAAATTGTAGTCGTAAGAGACTTTTTTTACATTAAAACGCTCTTTCGACTACACTATAAGGGTATATATATATATATATATATATATATATATATATATATATATATATATATATATATATATATATATATGTATGTATATACATATACATGAAGAAGATTTCTCATCCCATCTTATATATATGAGATGGGATGAGAAAGATGGTAAAAATTAGTTTTTTATGATGAAATTTTAATTATCTTTTGATTTGTATTTTTTGAGTTATTGCTAAAATAAGTGCTTCACATCATGACAAGTAAATGTCAGGCTGTGACATGCATATTTTGTGCTATATTTTTGAGCTATATTTTTGAAAGGAAAAAAAATAATGAAAAGTTTATTTTTTATGATAAATTTTGGTTAATGCAATAATATAATAAAGTTTATTTTTTAGTTTTGAAATGTAAATAGCAAAATTTTTGTTTTTTTTATTTAATATGCATTAATATGTAGCTTAGATTTCTCTCTTTATATTAAAATTAATTAAAATTATAGATTAAAAAGTTTTGAATATTACATTTTAAGGAGTTCACAGAAAAACAAAAAAAGAGGTTGCAGTCAAGGTGATTGATAAGTCAAGATTCCCAACACAAGAAGAAAGAGCTCTAAAAAATGAAGTCACTATATTGGAGGTGTGAAACATTTTCCTTTGTAAAATAACCTAATATTTTGTACCACAAATGTTTTTTGTTGTTGTTGTTTTTTCCATTGTTTATTATTATTTTTAATTTTTTTTTTTTTTCTTCTGTAGCATAGACAGTTGAGTAAAGGGAATTTTTTTTTTAATTTCATTTAGTAAGGTTGTGCTAAGATAAATAAATGCTGCATAAGCAGTATCAAAAGATTTCTAGATATTTTTAGATATTTCTAGAGATAACATTTTTAATGTAAGTTACCGAACATGTAGGCAAAATTGCCATTTTGTATATAAAATGTGTACATTTTAACATATCTTTACAAGGCCTGGTTTATAAGATGAGTTTTTGATTATCTAACATGTAGGTAAAATCTAACGTTTAGGTAAAGTTCCCATTTTGTATGTAAAGTCAAAATCAATCATCAAAAGACAAAGCCTGGTTTACAAGATATTTTTTTGAAGATCATTGTCCACTAATATTACAAGGGGGGGGGGGTCCAAAATTCTATATTTCTTGTTTAACCAGTTATTCTTAATTAATTTTTTGAGAAAAGTTCAAAAAACAGTTCAGTTTTTGCTAATTTTTCTTCTACTTCTATTTTCAAAACTTAAAGATACAAAAAATAAAAGTCTTTGCAAAAGTTTCTTTGCGTATAAAGTTATACAACTTTTCTTTCAAATTTATGCTATTCAAATTTTGATTGGATAAATTTGATTTTTAATTGTTGCGTTTTAAAAAAAAAAGGTTTTATCTGAAGTCTTATTCTAAAAACGTTTTTAAATAAGTAAAACGACAGATTGCTTCAAAAAAAAAGTTTTATCTGAAGTCTCTTTCTAAACAAAACCTTTTAAGTAATCAGAAAGACAGATTGCTTCAAAATATCTTAATTTCCTTTTCTTTCTTTTTTTTGTTTAATCGTTATTCAAGCTATCAAGAAGGCTATTCAAGATTTCATTTTTTTTTTTTTTTTTCACTTTTCTTTAATAAAGTCAAGAATAAATCTTCTTTTAAAGTGCCAGTCAGTAGAAGTTCAGTTAAATTCTAAAGGTTTAACAACTCTAAAGATAAACAGGCTAAAGGAACACCGTTACCTAAAAGGTTTTATAAAAAATAAACTGGGTGATCAAATTTGAAATTTTCTGCTTTACTCTAAAATGCAGTGAATAACTAGTTAAAAAAAAAATTCTAGAAGCAGTTAATAAATATACCTCAAAGAGGTTGAATGATTGTATCATTCTTGCTAGAGTATTTTGGCAAAAGTTAGCCTCAGGACTTCAAAAAAGAGAAAAGTATTATGTGTTTGGTTGATGATGGAATATGATTAGTATTAACTTTCTAATTAAGTTGTTGCAGTTGGAAAGCTTTGGAAAAAACCCATTTAATTTCAACAGTAGATGTATACTTAATTATTTAAACCATATAAAAAATGAAGGTTCACTTAGTTTAAAAAAATTTTGGAAAATTATTGTTCAATTATTTGTCCATATAGTTGAAACCAGCTACAAAAACAAATAGATAACAATGGAAGAGCAGCAAACTTTACATAAGGTGTGCAAGATGAGTTCTATTTTAGTTTGATTAAAGTTACAAGGCAGCCCATTTAGCTGTGAACTAGACATTATTGAAGTAGATAAAGATATGTTAAAATGAAAAAAAAGTTCAAAAATGAGGTTCTTTATTTTAGGGATACAATGTAGGTCATTGTCGCGGAGGTCTATTCTGTTTAAATACATGATTGTTGATATAAAAATACAAACATCCATCTTATGTCTACCAAAGAACAGGCTCATAACCTAGATGTTCTACACGGAAAGTTCCCGCAGCAATATCTATCACATATGATGACTTTTATAGTTATTTTCCATTTTCAAAAGTAAATAACAAACTGTATGAATTATTTTCATATACAATGCTTAATTTTTTTTGTTACTTATAAATCATAAAGTATATTATTGATAAATTAAACAGAAAAAGATTTCTACTTTACTACTTTTCTTATATTTAATGATAATAATAATTTGATCTATTTTTAACAATGCCTTTTTTTGTCAATATATTCACTTTTATTAAAATTGAAGTAGAAGGCTAAATAATTAAAATGAAAAAAAAAAAAAAAAAAATGTAAAATGTTAAAATGTAAAAAAAAAAAAGATTATGATTTTCATAATCTGCATAAAAAACTAATTAAGAAAAAATGGTTAAACTTTCAACAAGTGATATTTTACTACAAGCTAATATTTTCATCAGCATTACTAAAATAAATATTCATTATAATTTACATTTATCAGTATGGTAGCTTTTAATAACATTTTTTTTTTTTAATTTTATTTATTTTTTGCTAAGTTTATTAAATGATTTGCTTAATTCAATGATTTTATGAAATAGATTTTGTAAGTATACGCTTTAAAACAACAAAGATGGTTTTAAAATGATTAAACCAAAATGGTTTGTTTTTCTATATTTTAAGTCACATGATTATTTGCAAGCAACCACTATTAGAGTTCGAAGTTACTGAAAAAGAAAAGATGAACTTTATGAAATAAGATAACGATTAATAGATGACTTAAAAGATTGCAAATTATATGAATCAGAAAAACAAGGTGAAGGGAGCAAAGAACTGATGTTTAAAGAGAAAAACTAGACAAAGAAGAATTTGTGAAGCACTTACGAACAGTCACAGTAAAAGGATAAGACTTAATTAAATGATTAGTAACACAAGAATGAATTTTAGTAGATGGCACAAGTGACACTAGCTCTTTAATAGCCTATTATAGTATTTATAGAAAAGAAAAAAGAAGTAACATTACAACCATGTGACAAGGGTTAAAAGTTGGCTGCAAGAGCAGATCCAAATATGTTTACAATGCGTTTTTGCACTCTTTTTAAAAAAGAAAAGACATCATTTGAAGATCTGCTCCATATATGACAATAGTATTCCATACAAGGATGGATTAGAGATTTATAGAGATAAAGAATAGACTCCAGAGTAAGAAAATAGCAAGCACGATAAAATAATGCAACTTTAGCAGATGATAATTTTGGAATGGATTTGATATGTGGTTTCTAAGAAAAATCAGAAATAAGTCTTAATTCTAGAAGATGAAGGGTAGATGACTCATCAAGTACATTACTGTTTATAAATATAGAAAGATCTAGATTATTCCAATAACAATTAGCTGAAAAAATTGAGTTTTATCTGAGTTTAAGTTCATCAGCCACTTAGAGCCTCATGCTGTAGCAGAAGTGAGATCCTTTTTTTAGCTCAAATGTCCCCTCCAAACAATCCAAGAGTGTTGGCAAGACAAGAATAAATGGTAGTATCATCAGCGAACAATGCCACCTTAGGTTTTGAGAGTTTCTTGCAGATTGTTAATGTAAATTAAAAAAAGTATAAGGCCAAGAATAGAACATTGAGGAACCTCAAAATGTTACTGGAAATAAAAAAGAGTACTTTAGAAATTTCAATAGCCTTAACCTCTCCACATCTATCTAATTCATGATATTACCCCTAACAAATCAGCAGTAGAATGAGAAGATCGAAATCCATGTTGATGATCAGAAAGTAAGTTATTAAATTCAAGATGAGAGATTAAGTGTTTGTTAATTAAAGATTAAAAAACCTTGCTTATGATAGTAAAAAGACTATTGGGACAGTTGTTAGATAAGTCAGATCGTTCTCCAAAATTTTTGAAAAAACGGATAACAGATGCCGCTTTCTAGCAGGCTGGAAAACAAGACTCTGATAAGCACTTGTTAAATAATTTTGAAAATAGATAACAGCTCTGGAGAACACTTCTGAAAGACTTTAACAGGTATGTTGTTCAGACCACAAGCTGTAGAAGAGTCTAAGCAGGATACTACTTAAGATACAGAAACTGGAGTGAGACAAATGTCAATTGATGGATCAACCTGTTTGTCGGCTATATCAGATAGGATATGACTAATGGAATCAAGAGATAAGATTGATGAAAAGTTCTCAGTAAATATTTCAGTTTTATCTGAAATATTTACTGAGAAGTTTTAAGTGAGATAACAAAATATGAACCATGCATGAGAGGTGGAATAACAGATTTCCCCTTATTATAGACACTGTTAAGATTTTCCAGAACAGGAAGCCTGGAGCCTTCTATTCTGGAAAATCTTTAACAGTGAGCTTAATTTTTGAGATAAAATACCAGATTTTGTGACCTGAGAATAGCTAAAGGGCTTTGGCGTTAGACAAAATCTCATTACAATAGTTTCTAGCAATAGTAAATAGACTTCTGTTTTTTGGAGAAATGTTTTAGTGATTGGTATGGAAGTAATGGTTATAATTGAAAATTTTTTTTTTTTTTTTTTTAACATCTTCACTTCCAACAAGGCTGCAAGCAACCACTATAAGAGTTGGAAGTTACTGGAAGAGAAAAGACTAAATCTGTAGAGCAAGATGACGATTGACTGATGACTTAAAAGATTGCAAATTATATGAATCAGGAAAGCAAGATGAAGGAAGCGAATTCCAAAGAACTGATGTTCGAGGAAAAAAACTAGAAGAATAAGAGTTTTTGAAGCACTTAGGAACAGTCACAGAAAAAGGACGAGACTTAATTGAATGGCGAGTAACACGAGAATGAATTTTAGTAGATGGCACAAGGGACGCTAGCTCTTTAGAGCAGTGCCCATTATAGTATTTGTAGAAAAGAGAAAGAGAAGCAACATTACGACGATGTGACAAAGGTTGGAGATTGGCTGCCAGAGCAGGTCCAACTATGTTTACAATTCGTTTTTGCACCTTGTCTAAAAGAGAAAGAGCATCATTAGAAGATCCGCCCCAGATGTGGCAATAGTATTCCATACAGGGACGGATTTGAGATTTATAAAGATAGAGAATAGAATCTGGAGTAAAAAAAAGTGAAAGTGTCGAACTTGATAAAGAGATGCAACCTTAGCAGATGCTAATTTTGCAATGGATTTGATATACGGTTTAAAAGAAAGATCAGAAGTAAGAGTTAATCCTAGAAGATGAATGGTAGATGACTCATCTAGTACATTACCATTCATAAATATAGGAAGATCTAAATTATTACGATAACGATTGGCGGAATAAAATTGAGTTTTATCTGAATTAAAGTTCACCAGCCACTGTGAGCCCCATGCTGTAGCAGAAGTGAGATCCTTTTCAAGCTCAGATACCCCCTCCAAGCAATCAGAGAGTGTAGGCTTCTTATCATGACAAGAGTAAATGGTAGTGTCGTCAGCGAATAATGCCACCTTAGATGTGAGAATATCTGGAAGATCGTTAATGTAAATTAAAAAGAGTATAGGGCCAAGGATTGAACCTTGAGGAACCCCTGAAGTTACAGGATGTGAAGAAGAGTGTTGTCCATCGAGGACAACTTTTATACTACGATTGGAAAGAAAGGACTCAATAATCTTAAAGATGTTACCAGCTACACCATAAGAAGAAAGCTTATGGAGAAGACCAGCATGCCAAACTTTATCAAAAGCTTTAGAAATGTCAAGTGCGATAGCCTTAACCTCTCCACCTCTATATAATGCACGGTAAAACCTATCGGTTATTACTGTTAGCACATCAGCTGTAGAACGAGAAGACCGAAATCCATATTGATGATCAGAAAGTAAGTTATTTGATTCAAGATGAGAGATTAAGTGTTTGTTGATTAAAGATTCAAAAACCTTGCTTATGACAGGAAGAAGACTAATGGGATGGTAGTTAGATGAATCAGATCGCTCTCCAGAATTTTTGAAAATAGGGATAACAGATGCTGCTTTCCAGCATGATGGAAAACAAGACTCTGATAAGCACTTGTTAAATAGTTTTGAAAGTATGGATGAAAGCTCCGGAGAACACCTCTGCAAGACTACAACAGGAATGTTGTCAGGACCACAAGCTGTTGAAGAGTCTAAGCAGGAAATTACTTTTGATACAGAAGCTGAAGTGATGCGAATGTCAAGCAAGGGATCAACCTGTTTGACAGCTATGTCAGGTAAAACGCAACTAGTGGAATCGAGAGATGATATTGATGAAAAGTTCTTAGCAAACAATTCAGCTTTGTCTTTAGGTGAGGTGACAAAGTCTGAACCATACAAGAGAGAAGGAATAACAGATTTGCCCTTATTATTGATACTGTTAAAGATCTCCAGAAGTCTCGAGAGCCTAATTTTTGTGATGAGATACGAGATTTAATGACCTGAGAATAGCGAGCTTTGGCGTCAGACAAAACCTTTTTACAATGGTTTCTGGCGATAGTGAACAGATGTCTGTTTTCTGGAGAATTGTTTTGCTGATAGATATGGAAGTAACGGTTTCGATTAGAAATTGCTGCAGCGCAATGTGAGGAAAACCAAGGAGAAGAGTGAGGCTTGACCTGGAATCGTCGAGAGGGAATAAAAGGTTCCATGCCAGCCTGAATCCACGAAGTTATGTAAGAAGCACATTTGTCAGCAGGAAGATGAAAGATTTCTACCCAAGGGCCATCACGAAGAAAATCACAGAAAGAGTCCCAGTCAGCTTTAAGGTAGTTGTATGTGGTACGATGATAGGGGGATTCTGATGAAGTAGAAGAGTTTGATAATAGTTTTAGAGAGATCAAACCGTGATCAGAAGTACCTAAGGGTGAATGTGGAGAAATTGAGCACTGACTAGGATCCAAAACAAGACATAAGTCGAGTAGAGAAGGTAAATGATTAGGGTTGTCTGGAAAACGAGTTGGAAAGTTGACTATTTGAGTTAGAGATTGAGAAAGGCAAAAGTTGAGGGCCTTAACGCCAGCAGAGTCACTGACACTAGAGCCAAGCCAATCGGTGTGATGGGCATTAAAGTCACCAACAACGACGATATTGGCCGATGGATAAAGAAAGAGGGCTTGGTCATTTTGATCAGAAATAGCATCAAGAATAGTGCAGTCTTGGGATGAAGGAGAGCGATATAGAACAAAGAGAAAGGGGATAGAGTGAAGTTGTGCTAAACAAAAGCACATAAATGAATAGTCTGTAGATTCAAACCTAGTTTCACGACAAATGGGTGAGTTCTTACGAATGTAGATGCCCAGGCCAAGCATGTGATTATTGGAGTCTTTACGAATTAAAGAAAGATAACCATCAACACTAAGATCACAAGATGGGACAGCCGAACTCAAATTAGTCTCACAAAGAGCAAGTAGGTCTGGTGAACTTTGCAAGAGATAAGACTCAACAGAAGAAAAGTTACTTCGAAGACCACGAATATTAGTAAATGATAGGTTTAGAGAACTTGGTGATGACGATGGTTTTTTGTGTTTTTTAGTTTTAGGTACTTTAGTCATTTTGAATTTATAAAGAACTTGACTCAAGTATAGATAGTACTCAGTACACTATTTAACAACTAAGCAATAGCCTTATTACTATTAATAAACCCTAAGCCGTAACAAAGGGCTCCAAATGTGGCCTCTGCAATGCACACCAAAAGTACAAACAGGGACACCATCCATGCGCAACATGGCACTGTTAGTACTCTGATATTTTTCGGCTGTTGATGGAATCAGCCTCTCTGAGAGCTACCACAGAGTTCGGGAAACCTGACTACCAGCCGGCCTCAGAACCATAAAACTGAGTTTTAGAGCTGTACTCTCATTAGGAGATAATAGAATGAGTTGCCCAGTCGTAAAAATAGAGACACAAGCAATACCCACGCATTGAGTCAAGAAGATCCAGCGTTCAACATCCTAAACTGGAAACAATGTATTAAAAATACATCTGCGCCAGCCTAATAGATGAGGAAGGGGTGCGAGGCTGGTCAACAGATAGAATCTGTTTACCCCTTAAGTGCAGTAGCACGATAAAAAGAAAACCATGGGGAAGAGTGAGGCTTGACTTATAATTGTCTAGAAGGAATAAAAGATTCCACGCTAGCCTAAAGCCAAGAAATTACATAAAAAGCACATTTATCAGAAAAAAGACAAAAGATTTCTATCCAAGGGGAAGTTTAAAACAAAAAGTCGGGTATACTTTTTTGTGCAGACATCTAGAATTATATAAGTATAAATGCAATATTTTATTGTGTAGTTTACAGGACAAGTCGTTATATAACATATATTTAGTTATGTTATTATTAGTTTATTAATTATATTATTATTAGTTATAATGATATTATTAGTATACCTTTTAAAATCTTGCAGTCGCGGTGGTATCAAGGTGTATCACACAGTAGTGGTAGAGCGTATTCTTTGTATACAATAAGTTCTGAGTTCAATCCTCACGATCTCAACTTGTGTCTCCACACAACAGTCTTATTTTCTTATGGAAGTTTAAAACAAAAAATTAGTTATACTTTTTTTGTGTAGATATCTAGATGTACACAAGTATAAATGCGATATTTCTTTGTGTAGTTTACAGGACAATACGTTATATGGCGTATATTTAGTCATGCTTATAAAATAAATATTTTTGGGTAACTTATATTTAGCAAATATATATATTAAAAAAAAATTATTCACAGTTTTTTTTTTTATACAACACAGTTGTTATAATAATAAATAATTGTAGTAATTGTTGTACATTAAGTAATTGCTCTTAAATTTAAAATCTAATGAAAACCTGACAAAGTTCCATTTGCCAATTTTCTATAGACCAGCAGTCTGCTACTTGAAATAATCACACACTTGTGAACTATGCACCCACACTTGTGAATTATGCACCCACACTTGTGAATTATGCACCCACACTTGTGAATTATGCACCCACACTTGTGATTTATGCACCCACTCTTGTGAATTAGGCACCCACATTAGTAAGTATACAAGTGTGGGTGTATAATTTATATCATAGTGCATAGTAATGCACCCACACCTGTGAACTATGCACTTTAGAGTTAAGGGTTTTTCTTTATTTTTTAGTTGACTTGATGTTTTATGTTGCAAAAAAGGAACATTAACCATCCTAACATCTTGATCTTGTTTTAAATTTTGGTGCAGCCTTGACTAGTTTGAACAATATTTTTTACCAGTTTGAACAATGTTTTTATACTTTTCAGAAAAGCGACTGATTAAGAGCAGTGGCCTCAAACTGATCAACTGTAGCTTCTAACAAATTTGAACTCCACTCTAAAAATCATCAACCTTGACTTTTTTTTTGTAAAAACTTTTTTTTTTATCAAGCCATATAAAGATAAAAGAGAGTGAAAAAGGAAAGAAGCTTTTTTCTTAGCAGCAGCCCAGTGTGCTTAGCGTGGTGAATATAAAAATGAAAAAATGCTTTAAATTTTTAAAAAAAAAATTTTTTGGCTTAAAGGTAATATGACAATCTAATCATATGACTCGGAAAGATAAACAGTCTCCATAATTATTAATTGTTGTTAGTTGTTTATTTTATTAAGTTTATAATATACTAAAATATGAAGTATATAATGATTATTTTTTTATTTTTTATATGTGTGTATAAATAAATGCATAGTTTTTAAATTAAATCTAAAATTTAGCATATATTAGGTGTTATTAATTTTTATTCCCTTGTAAATGATTATGTGTATGCATTTCTAGAATATTAGTCATCCTTGTATATGATTATGTGTATGCATTTCTAGAATATTAGTCATCCTTGTATATGATTATGTGTATGCATTTCTAGAATATTAGTCATCCAGCTGTGGTTAATCTGGAGAGAATGTTTGAAACACCAGAACGAGTAAGGAATAATTTAGTTAGTAATAAAGTTTTAAACATGCCTCATAATTTTTTTATAATTATTTTGGCTTAATATTTATTTTATAGATGTATAATTTTATTGTTATTAATAGATATTTGTTGTAATGCAAAAAATGAAAGGCGACATGCTGGAAATGATATTAGGCAGCCCTAATGCAAGACTTACAGAAAAGCAGACAAAGTTTATCTGTCACCAAGTTTGTTTTTACTTGAACTATTTTGTTAATGATCCTTTTTGAACTAGGATTAAAAGAAATCATGTTATATATATAGAACTTTAAAATTAAATAACAACTAACTAGGGGTGTGGAGTCGTAAAAAAAAGTAACGACTCCGAGTCCAACTCCAAAGCAAAATTTTTGAAAAATTTTTTGAATTTTTTAAAAAATATTATGCGATAAGTTAAAAGAAAGTTTTTTGAAAAATTTATGAAACGTTCTTAGGTTTAGTATAAATATAAGATTAATTGAATGTTTTATACATGCACGTGCAATACCGAGAAGTTTTACTATTGGAGTCGGAGTCGCGATTTTGTTTAGCGACTCCGACTCCGCTAAAAATGTTGCAACTCCAACTCTGACTCCACAGCCCTGCAACTAACGATAGAATCGCCATAGAAATAACAAGCTGTTTCTAATGTTTCTATAACATCTATAAAATTAAAAATTATTCAACTATAAACTATGACAACATTAAAAGTTACTCTCTAAAAAAGTTAGTTTTTTTACATTGGATCAAAATAAATTTTTTTAATACTTAATTCAACCAATTATTTATTTATGGAAATGTTTAGTAAAACTATCTATTATGATCATATTGACAACAGAAACATAAAATTACATTTAAATTATATATATATATATATTTTGTTTTGTTTATTTTAATAATATTTAATAATACTTTATCTTAATATTTCTACAAAAATATCATAGTTTAAAATTAACTTCAAACACAAATTTAAACCATTTATATAAATTAAGCGAGTTGCTTGAATTATTTTACAGTCTTCTATAAATTGTTACTTCTGTGGCACTTAAAAAGATGTTTTTATTTTAAGATTCTAGCAGCTTTAAATTTTCTTCATAAAATGGACATAGTTCACTGTGATTTAAAACCTGAAAATGTGCTTTTGTCTGGTGTCGAATCAAAGGAAGGCTTCCCTCAGGTACTTAAACTTTATGATTGTATATATACATTTTTGCACACTTAGGTGTGGTGTGTTTTTTTAAGAGTAATATTGAAAAATATAAAGTAGTTGTTAACTTATTTTCTCTAAATATATATTTTTTTAATTATTAAATATTGTATCAGATAATATCAATAAAAATAAAAAACATAAAATTTCCAATTTTCAAAGAGTACGAATATTTGCTGGGAGATATCTAATCAGAAAATAATGTGAAAAATAAATAAATTAAAAAAATAGTAATAATAGATAACATTAGTTAAGTCAAACAAAGTTTCAATTATTTTTCGTCCAAGCAGGATAAAAGGACAATATTGTTATCAACTCATTTTTCATTCTAAATCTGAAGTAAACAATATAAAATTTAACTTGAAAGAAATAGTTGAAATTTAAAAATAGTGTGCAATTTTTTAGACTTGTATTTGCTATTGAATAGTTATTAAAGTTTCTATAAGCAAATGAATTATCAGAAATAATTAAATTTTAAACAAAGAAGATCTTTTGCAGTTTTTTTTTTTAAGTTATATAAGACAAATTTTTAAAATTTATTTTATAAAGAACTTATTGTTTACAATAAATATGTTTTAGTTGAATTTTAAAATTGTTTGATAAACAGCATTCGATTTTTGTATGTTTTTAAATTTGTTTTAATTTTTTTTAAAAGATTGATTTTAATAGCTATTCAGAATTATCACAAATTTTTTTGTTACAATCAGGAGTTGTCATTATAAGTAGCAAGTTAATACATTGTTGGCGTGTTTGTGTGTGTATTAAATATTATAAGATAATTGTAAAATTTATAAATTATTAACTATATTGAATTTGTTTTATTTTTTAAGATTAAGTTATGTGACTTTGGTTTTTCACGAATTATTGGCCGTGAATCATTTCGCCGTTCAATAGTTGGTACTCCAGCATACCTAGCACCAGAAGTTTTAAGTAATAAAAAATATAATAGATCATTAGATATGTGGTCTGTTGGTGTTATTATATATGTTAGGTAAAAGTATTTACATTTAATGGTTTATTACGTTTTTGAATGGCCATCATTTGTTGGAGTTGTTATATATGTTATTATCTGTTGAAATATCTGTTAAAGTATTATATATGTTATTATTTGTTGGAGTTGTTATATATGTTAAGTAAGACATTTTGCTTTTAAGAATAAATTGTCTATGAACTAAATCATAGCTATATTATAGCTAATTTATTGAAAATGTAATTTTGCTTTTAATATATATATATATATATATATATATATATATATATATATATATATATATATATATATATATATATATATATATATATATATATATATATATATATATATATATAAAGCATATATATTATATATATATAATATATATTATATATAATATTTAATATATATATATATATATATATATATATATATATATATATATATATATATATATATATATATATATATATATATATATATATATATATATTAAAAGCAAAATTACATTTTCAATAAATTAGCTATAATATAGCTATGATTTAGTTCATAGACAATTTATTCTTAAAAGCAAAATGTCTTACTTAACATATATAACAACTCCAACAAATAATAACATATATAATACTTTAACAGATATATATATTTAATATATATATATATTTAATATATATATATATATATATATATAATATATATATATATATATATATATTAATGTGTTTGAATATAAGTCTATATTTTAAAATGCAAAGAATAATGGGAGAGAAAAATAATTTTTGTCATAATATAAGTTCTTTATATCTACACAACACTTGCCCAAACCCTTTGTTGATGTATTTACTGAAGACCCCACTATTATCCCTATTTCAGTACAAAGACCAAAGAACAGACGTATTTATTACCTGGCAGGGATTTTTATTTTATTTTAATTTTTTTTTTGTGTAAGATCAATTGTAAATAAAATAGTAAAAAAAAATTAAAAAATAAAATCGTAAAAAAATGCATAACAAAATAAGAGTCAGCAGAAACTGTAGAAATCAGTGAAAATGTTTTATAGCAGTATTTTTTAAGTAAAATAATGGAAACCAATTTATAAAAACTTCTCATTGTTTTAACAATTTTAGACATTTTGAAAATGTTAAGGTGTTAAACAAGTGGTGGAGAATAAAGATAGAACAGAATAGGAAAAAAAAGAAAAAAAGGCAGAACAGAATAGGAAAAAAAAGAAAAGAAACTTAATTTTGAAAAATGCTTATTTTATTTTGATCTAATTAAATAATTGTAAAGTTCAAGATATTAACCTTTTTAAAGTAAAATAACAAACAAAAAAATCAAAATAAAAAATTATTCTTAATTTTTTTCTCAAAAATTGTTTACACTTCTTATAGTTAATAATATTTTATATACAAAAATAATACAGTAGTATTATATTATTATTATTATGGCATTTTTTCTCATCTCACTCATAATATAAAAGAGTTCAGAAAATCTTAAACTAATTTTTCATGTCTTTTTTTTTTATTTCTGCTACTTTTTTAATTGACTAAGAAAAGTGAGGAATGTTGCAAAAGCTCTCATTGGTTAAATTTCTTAAAGTGACATTTTCCTTGACGCTAACTGAAAAGAATTTGATCAATAAAAAAAGCAAAAAACATTTTTTTATTGATCTTAATGAAAAGAAAACGTCGTAAACCTAATTCTGATTCTAACCTAACCTAATTATTTTTTAAACTCAAGTATTATTTTCATCAAAAATATTAAAAAACTAAAAACTCACAACATTTCTACAACATTTTACTATTATGCTAAATTAACAGTTGATTATTATTAATTAGTAACACATAGAAATGGTTTTTAGGTTTAAAAACTTTTATACACACACATACACACACACACACACTCACACAAAGCATGCTTATGTTGGCTCTTTTGTCATGCTAAGATAGGCATGAAATTGGAAGAGAATTCTAAAAGTTTAAAGTGCACAAATTAAGAATTCTTGTCCAGCTGTATGGAATACTATTCTCATTGTATTTTTTAATAATGTTGTTACTTGTGTGGTTGTTAAATTTACTTGTATGATTTGTCAAATTTTATTTTAATTTATATCATTATTTACATTTCTTAGTGTGAAATTAGTTTAGTTGTAGATAATTTTATAAAACATTTTCATTTTTTCATCAACATAAGCAATAGTTGACATCTGCTGACATCATAAGTTTTTACATTTTTTTATTTATAGTGTAAGTGGAACATTTCCATTTAATGAAGATGAAGATATTCCAGATCAAATAAAAAATGCTGCTTTTATGTATCCACCACAGCCTTGGGCTGAGATTTCAAAAGATGGTATAAATGATCTACTTTTCCTATAAAAAATTATGTTTTGATATCTTTTTTTTTTTAAATCAAATCTAAAATGTTCTTTGTAAACATTAATGATTTGATTGTTACAATCTGCAATTTATTTATTGTTTAAAAGGTATGGTTTGTTGTCCCTTCCATCAATTAAAGTTCTGAAGGAAAAAGATGGTTAACAACTTGGTCATAATCACTTTTATCTAAAAAAACTTCATCAATACAGTTGAAATATTATTTTACTTTAATTTTTTTTTTTATCCACTCAATTTATACATTTTACTTAACCTTAGTGTTCCAAATATTCTTATTCCAGTTCAGTCATTTTTAAAAACCTCTGTACCTTACATGTACAAGTATAACAAGGATGAGTTGCCATGGAACGAGAATTTGATATCTGCCACACAAGTAATGGTTATTTTATCCAAACAGAACTTTTTAAGGTTATGATATTTTTTCTGGTACATCTGACACCAGTACTATAATAAACGATGCTTCTACACATCTTTCCTTAAAATTTAATGAGTTAATTTGTTCATATTTTCTCCTTTTGTTTTTATTTGTTTTACCAGGATTTAAAACAACATTTAAACAAACCTAAGTAGTTCATTATTAAATTATATTTTTAAACAAACCTAAATAGTTCATTATTAAATTATATTTTTAATTGATAAAATCAAAGTTAAAAAATCTCCATCAATGGAAATTTTCAAACTGATAATTTCAAACTCATTTACATCTGTTGTTCAGTTTAAACAATTTTTTTTTTATATTATAATTTTTTGTTTATATTTAATATTAAAAATTTCAGAATCTTTATCAAAGAAATGATCAAGTTGCTGGTCAATTTGTTTAAGCTCTGCTACTAATGCTGGTTTTTTTCTGTTTTGTGTTTTGAAACTTAATTCTTTTGCTAGCTTTAGCACTTTTATGTTACAAATTAAGTATTATGTTTGGGGCCGACTATAAAGGTTGTCATAATGATAGGGGGAGGGGTCAAGTAAAAAGGACAAAATTTTATGTTTTTCTTAAGCAAAAAAGAAAAGGATATTCTGATGATGAAATCATAAAAGACTTCCTCTCTACTTTAACTAAAAACGTGGGTTTGAAGAACAAGTCCTAAAACATTTCCCTTTCTTGGAACACAGTGACAAGAAGATTAGAAGAAACAGCTGGTGATGTCTAAAACAAATCATAGTAGCAATAACAACTGCAAATCATAGTAGCATAGTATAATAGCAACAGTAATTTCAAGATACTTTTCAATTGCTATTGATAAAAGTTAAGTTTCAACTGAGAATGCTCAACTACATGTTTACATCAAATGTGTACATAAAAACTTTGATATCATGCAAGATCTTCTTGGTCTCTGTCAGCTTCATACCAAAACAACATGATCATTGAAAAAATGTATGGAAAATTCAAAAACCAGCACACACAACCTGAATTGGAATAAACTTGACAGTATTTGCGCTGGTAGGGCACCAGAAATGGTTGGAAAGAGTAATGGTTGTGTTTCTTTCTATGAGAAATATTAAAAAAGTAAACTTTTTTAAATATCATTGTATCATTCATGAGGAAGTGGTCTGTTCTAAAGATGTGTAATTTAGTCATGTGGCTGACACTGTTGTACAGTGCATTAATAAAAATCAAGCAAAAGGACTTCACAGACAAGAGTTTTGTTTGTTTTTTAAAAATAAAACCAATGAATATGGAGAGTTTTTGCTGCTCTGTTCAGTTTGTTGGTTATTAAAGGTCAAAATGTTGTCTAGATTTTTTTTACTAAAAAACCAAGCTCTTTATTTTTTCAGAAGAAAAGGAGGAGTTATTATTTTTCTATTGTTTCAGAAGAAAAGGAGGAGTTATTATTTTTCTATTGTTTCAGAAGAAAAGGAGGAGTTATTATTTATCTATTGTTTCAGAAGAAAAGGAGGAGTTATTATTTATCTATTGTTTCAGAAGAAAAGGAGGAGTTATTATTTATCTATTGTTTCAGAAGAAAAGGAGGAGTTATTATTTATCTATTGTTTCAGAAGAAAAGGAGGAGTTATTATTTATCTATTGTTTCAGAAGAAAAGGAGGAGTTTATTTATCTATTGTTTCAGAAGAAAAGGAGGAGTTTATTTATCTATTGTTTCAGAAGAAAAGGAGGAGTTTATTTATCTATTGTTTCAGAAGAAAAGGAGGAGTTTATTTATCTATTGTTTCAGAAGAAAAGGAGGAGTTTATTTATCTATTGTTTCAGAAGAAAAGGAGGAGTTTATTTATCTATTTATTGGATAGCCAACACTTTTTAATCAGATCAATGCTTTTAAGAAAATTAAAGTTTGTTTTTTTTTTAATTATAAAAAAACGGACAGCCACAATGCAAATTATTAAACTTTAGAGCATTGCTTAAAATTCAAATGCTATTTCTAATGACTTAAAAACAAGCAATGATGATAAATCAAAGAGAAACTGCTGTAAAATTGATATTGTTTTAAAATAAAAAGAATTATCTGTTTTTACTGATGCGTTGATGATTTGATCTTTTTTTTTTTTTTAACATCTTCGCTTCCAACAAGGCTGCAAGCAACTGCTAATTAGTGTTGGAAGTTACTGGAAGAGAAAAGATGAAGATTGTAGAGCAAGATAACGATTGACAGACGACTTAAAAGATTGCAGATTATATGAATCAGGAAAGCAAGATGAAGGAAGTGAATTTCAAAAAACTGATGTTCGAGGAAAAAAACTAGATGAATAAGAGTTTTTGGAGCACTTGGGAACAGTAACAGAAAAAGGATGAGACTTAATTGAATGACGAGTAACACGAGAATGAATTTTAGTAGATGGCACAAGAGACTCTTTAGAGCAGTGCCCATTATAGTATTTGTAGAAAAGAGAAAGAGAAGCAACATTACAACGATGTGATGTTGAAGGTTGGCTGCAAGAGCAGGTCCAACTATGTTTACAATGCGTTTTTGCACCTTGTCTAAAAGAGAAAGGGCATCATTAGAAGATCCACCCCAGATATGGAAACAGTATTCCATACAAGGCCGGATTTGAGATTTATAGAGATAGAGAACAGAATCCAGAGTAAGAAATTGTCAACCTTGATAAAGAGATGCAACTTTAGTAGATGCAACTAATTTAATATATGGTTTCCAAGAAAGATCAAAGTAAGAGTTAATCCTAGAAGATGAAGGGTAGATGATTCATCGAGTACATTACCATTCATAAATATAGGAAGGTCTAAATTATTGCGATAACGATTGGCTGAAAAAATATTGAGTTTTATCTGAATTAAAGTTCACCAGCCACTGTGAGCCCCATGCTGTAGCAGAAGTGAGATCCTTTTTCAAGCTCAGATGCCCCTTGCAAGCAATCAGAGGGAGTTGGCTTCTTATCGTGACAAGAATAAATGGTAGTATCATCAGCAAACAATGCCACCTTAGATGTGAGAATATCTGGAAGATCGTTAATGTAAATTAAAAAGAGTATAGGGCCAAGGATTGAACCTTGAGGAACCCCTGAGGTTACAGAATAAGAAGAAGAGTGCTGTTTATCAAGGACAACTTTTATACTACGATTGGAAAGGAAGGGTTCAATAATCTTAAAGATGTTTCCAGATACACCATAAGAAAAAAGCTTATGGAGAAGACCAGCATGCCAAACTTTATCAAACGCTTTAGAAATGTCAAGAGCGATGGCCTTACCCTCTCCACCTTTATCTAATGCGTGATAAAACCTATTGGTTATTACTGTTAGCAAATCAGCCGTAGAATGAGAAGATCGAAATCCATATTGATGATCAGAAAGTAGGTTATGAGATTCGAGATGAGAGATTAAGTGTTTGTTAATTAAAGATTCAAAAACCTTGCTTATGATAGGAAGAAGACTAATGGGACGGTAGTTAGACGAATCGGATCGCTCTCCAGAATTTTTAAAAATAGGGATAACAGATGCTGCTTTTCAGCAGGCTGGAAAACAAGACTTTGATAAGCACTTGTTAAATAGTTTTGAAAGGATAGACGACAGCTCCGTAGAACACTTCTGCAAGACTATAGCAGGTATGTTGTCCGGGCCGCAAGCTGTAGAAGAGTCTAAGCAGGATACTACTTTAGATACAGAAGCTGGAGTGATACGGATGTCAAGCAGTGGATCAATTTGTTTGACGGCTATATCAGGTAGAACGCAACTAGTGGAATCAAGAGATGATATTGATGAAAAGTTCTTGGCAAACAATTCAGCTTTGTCTTTAGGTGAGCTGACAAAGTCTGAACCATACAAAAGAGGTGGAATTACAGACTTGCCCTTATTATTGATACTATTAAAGGTTCTCCAGAAGTCACGAGAGCCTAATTTTTGTGATGAAAAACGAGATTTCATGACCTGAGAATAGTGGGCTTTGGCATTAGACAAAACCTTTTTACAATGGTTCCTAGCAGTATTAAACAGACGTCTGCTTTCTGGAGAATTGTTTTGCTGATAGATATGGAAGTAATGGTTTCGATTGGCAATTGCAGCAGCACAATGTGAGGAAAACCATGGGGAAGAGCGAAGCTTGACCTGGAATTGTTGAGAGGGAATAAAGGACTCCATGCCAGCCTGAATCCACGAAGTTATGTAAGAAGAAAAGATGAAAGATTTCAACCCAGGGGCCATCACGAAGAAAATCCCGGAAAGAGTCCCAGTCAGCTTTAAGGTAGTTGTAAGATGTACAATGATAGGGGGATTCTGATGGTAAAGAAGAATGAGATAATAGTTTTAGAGAGACCAAACCATGATCATTTTTTCCAAGCTTTCAAGCATTTTCAAACTACATGAAAATTTCAGTTTTTTGTTGGATTATGAAAAATATAAACTGGCTATTTTAAAACTATTGGAGTACTTTGTTTCTTATTTTCATAACTTATGATTTCAACAATTTCTTTTTATCGTTCTTATTTCAATTTTACTTACTATTTCCTAATTTAGTTAATATTTTATTTTTTAATAAGCAAACAATATTTGTAAAACAGATATTCAACAATTCAATTAAATTGAGATAAGATTTTTTTGAAACTGTAAGAAATTTATGCTTGAATTTCAATCACATATTTTTGTTTAGTTTCATAAAAATCTCTAATGATTTTTGTGATCGATTTCAGTGCCCAATTGTTCAGTGCCAAAGATTTTTCAGTTCAATTGTTTTTCAGTTCAATTGTTTTTTAGTTCAATTATTTTTCAGTTCAATTATTTTTCAGTTCAATTGTTCAGTGCAAAGATTTCAGTGCCCAATTGTTCAGTGCCAATTGTTAAAATTCCAAGGCGCCCAACAGTTAAAATTCCACCATGTTAAAAAATTTATTCCACATGTACTTACACTTTGCTTGCTACACTTGGTTTTCTAATTTTTGATACAACTTGTCTCCTTTTGATACAACTTGTCTCCTTTCGAGTCGCGAGTTTTTAAATAATTTTAATACAACTTGTCTCTTTTCTATAGTTATACTATAATGTTTGTTCAAGTTTTTTCGGGTTATTTTTTTTTTATTTTTTGGATTTCTAGGGTTATTTTATCCTTTTAATGCACCAATAATAGTATATTTACAAGCTGTTATGACCCGTAAAATACGAGTCTATGGGAGTTTATTTCACACCTGCCTCTATTTTTATACTTATTTTCGGCTATTTATCAGTCCTCTATTTCTTTACGTTAATGTTTTTGAATAAATGATAGAGAAATAATTCATTCAAACTTTTTTATGCATGCTCATCAAAACTTATCCCATTTATTTAAAAAAATCAAAAAAAAAAAAGTATGATATAGGTTCCATTGGTAGGATTTGAACCACTGAGCTTTACATCAGCGACTCTACGTCCATCCACTCAGCCACACAGGAGTGTTGTCTGACAGATTTTAAAACTATTTAAGAAATGAAATTTATTATAAAATGCTTTAGTTCAAAATTAAGAAGATATTGCCACAATTCAATTTTCAAGTGAGAGTAAAACTGTAAAACTTGATATATGTTTTAACATTACATAGTTTGAAGTCTACATAAGTTAGATATTTGCATACAATTTCGTTCATATTTTCTTATAAAAGAAAGTACTTGATGATTCTTTCTCGCAAATACCTTGATTGCAATGGCTGCCAAGCGTTCTGTGTCAAAAACTACTACTACTATTAAGTTCAGCATTATTATATAAATTCTATGTTATCCACTGCACTAGATCAAATTTGAATTTAACTAACCTTAGAATATCACAAATTTCTATGCACTTTTATAGGCTAATGTGTAACATTAAAAAATTGTTAAGCATTATTGAGTTTAAAAGACAAACTTTTTTAATAATTATTTTCATCTGGAAATTTAAATTTTGAGTCAAATTCTTTTATCATCTTTAAAAATGGTTGTCAATGGGTATTGACAACCATTTCAATCACGCTGTTCTGATGCTTTCGATGTTCACTTGATTCCATTGGCTACTTGGTTATTCCTCATTCAAAGCACTCTCCTATTGTTTGCATTTTCGTTTTTCCACTTTTTCGGGAAAATGTAGAATTATTGTCATCAACTTTACGCTTTAAAAATTGTTTTTTTGCATCTTGTTTTTTCTTTTTTCGTATCTCTATATGTATTTTCTAAATATACGCTACCAAGTTACTTGAATTTTTTCCAACAAGAGTTGTGCCACTCACTTCCTGGTTATTCTTGTCCTAAACTAGATATGTGGGTATGTCGTTTTTTTTTAAAAGGTGGTACCGGATATAACTTTTTACATATCCGGCCAGATATCAGATGTGTCATATATATCTTTTCATATCCGTATCCGACCGGATATATATTTCGATATCCGGTCGTATATGCCAGATATATTGAATTTCAGAATTTAGCTTTTTTTTGAAATTTTATTTTAGAAATCGAATTCAGGTTCAGTACACGATTTGAAATTCAGTTCTGTTTAGTTTGTAAATTGTTTTAAGTATATACTTTGGATTTGCAAAAGCATTATTTCAAGTCAACGTTTTTTTTAGCGCAAGACTTGATTAACCAGCTTTTACAAGTGAAGATGAAGATCAGATTAACGTGTCAGCAAGCTTTAATTCATAAATGGATGCAGGTATTTATTTGGATTTTTTTCTTTATTTTATAAACCATCGTTTACTGATAAAATAGTGTAAACATGCGATTATAATTTAGGATCTTGATACGTTTTTGGAATTGCGTCGTCTTGAAGAGAAAGTTGGAATACGATATATAACGCACGAGAGTGATGACGTTGCATGGGCTCAATATGATCCTACTAAATCATTTTTTAAAGAGTCAAAAGATACCTTCTCAGAAAATAACATCTGTGAAAAAAATCAGACATTAGCAAATATTATTGAACTGTAAAATGTAAAAATATCAAGAATTTTTTTTAAAAATTGCCATTTATCTAAGTTATTATGCTTACAAATAGTAATTTTCTAATCTATTTTTTAAACTTTTACATTTATTTTTATTTTTTGCAATGGGTATTGTTTATAATTTGAAATTTTCTGTTTGTGGGGTTTAACTATTCGTTTATCGTGCTTTATATTTCTGTTTTATATTTCATTTCTGTATATCATAATTATTTATGATCGCTCTCTGTAAGTTTTTGCATCGAATCCATTCTTTTTTTTATTTCTATTTTTTTATTTATTAATTTTTTTAATTTAGACTAATTTTATTTTATTAACCTTGAAATATTTTTCATTGCAATTTTTTGTTTCCCCAGCTTTATTACGGGCCAAATTGTAAATAACTTCACTATTTTAAGTTTTTTATTTGAATGCTTATTAATATTCATCATTACTACGCATACTAGTATTATGGAAATAAGTAATTTGAATTATTCTGATCTCTGTAGATGTATATATTTTATTTTTTGCAATGAATTGAAAACTTTTATATGTATATATATATATATATATATATATATATATATATATATATATATATATATATGTTTGTTTTCAAAATATATGACTTTTTTTTAATAAAAGTTATGTGTTTAAAATAATAAGAAGCTTGTTATATGTTTACAAATATCCTTGTTGCCCAATGATATATTTTTTAGAAAAAAAGAGACTTACTGTTTGTTTTTTCTTTTATATATATATTTATCAAACCAAAGGCTAAGAAGGTCACTGCGGTGAGAACATTTCTCTTATGTATTCTTGCTTTTTTTCTTTTTTAAACCATGAAACTCCAAATAAGTGTTTGTTGCTGCTCACAGTGGGTCCAGATTATTCCAAAAGTTAGCTAAAATATGAAACATCTTTTTAATCTTATGTTTTTGGGGACATGAGATATTTCTGATATCGAAAATAGGTCTTGACCGCTCTGATCGGCGCGCTATACCGTGCGCGTATAGTCAAACGGTAACGTTTTGCGAAATAATAGTTGTAGTTGGAGCCTGGAAACAAAAATACTTGAAAATGTTTGCATATCCCAAAGTTGCAGGCAAATAGTTTATTAATTTTTATTATTATTATTTTATACTAAATTTAACTTTATTGGCAAAGTTTAAGTTTTGTGAAATAATCTTTTATAGTTAAAAAGTTAGGAGCATTTTAAATTTACAACCACCTTTTTTCTATTTTGAAAGTTATGTTGGTGTCATAACTTTCAAAATTTAAAAGGTTGTTAGATGAAAATTAAAATCTTTTTGTGAATTTAAGGTGTTAGACTACAAAAAAAAAAAATTTTATCTGACAATGTTTTTATTTCAATTAATATTTTTACTCCATACATGATAAATATATATTTTAAAAAGGGTTTTTTTTTGTTTGTTTTTTTCCATAAATTTTGGGCAAAAATAGGTAGTTTTAGGCTAAAATCTTGACAAAGGTATCTCCAAAAGTAAAATGTATTAAGTTCTAAATTTTTGCTGTTTTATTCACTTTTTGTAGATATATGTCTTAAGTTAAAAAATTTTGTTTAAAATTTTTTTATCTTAAAGTATCGTAAGATTTTTTAAGGCTCCTAATTTAAAATTAAATTGCTGATAACGTGACTTATGCATATTTCGGACTCATTGTTATTTTGGATGCGTATTAAAAAATCAAATTTCAACGTTGAAATTTAAAAATTTTAAATATAAAAATTTTTACTATTAAAAAAAAAACGTTTTATTTTCGCAACTTTGATTTTTTTCATACGTTTTTACTGGAATCCGAATTAACATGCACTGCATGATATTTCGAATTTTTCAGTAGTGTTTTTATAATTAAATTCGTAAATAAAATATAGCACTTTTTTTTTTTAAATGGTAAGTTTTTATGCAAGTTGTCGAGATCTACAAGATTATGTAAAAATGTTTTTAAATTTCTAAAGTTTAAACGTCCTAGTTTTTATTCAAAGAAAAAAACGTCCGAAATATGCATCAACTCACGTTATTATGGACCAAAAATTTGTTTTTTAAAAAGTTTGTATTCTTAATTTTTTTTATATCAGGACATAAAACTAATTAAAATAAATATCTGTACAAAACTTAAAGTCAATTGGACAATTACAGCTCCTGCAAACTTTGCCAGAAAATTAGAAATACAGAATAGAGAGAAATTCAAATAAAGTTTGAAATATCGAATACACAAACTTATAAAAAATATTTAAATCCCCATTTTCATATACTGTTCGCTCTTCATCATGGTAATTTTCATCGAACCCTTTCCTAGTTGCTCTGAGATTTTTTCTTTATTTTTAAATTATTATTAGTTTTTTTTTTTTTTTTCTAATCTTAATTAGCCGTTGCTACGAGCGTTGCTAAGGCAAGAACTTACCCTGCTAAAATAAATCAATTTTATCAGTTCTACTTTTTTTCTTCTCAATAACATATAAATAATAACATTTAAATATATAATTTTAGATTCTGCAACAGTTACTGTTTAAAATAATGTGACTTTTTAAAAACCGATTTTAAACTTTTTTTTAGCAGTCTATCACCTTGCATTTAGCGTAAGATAGTAAATTAAATTATGTTATGAACTTATTGCTCTCACATTCGGGGTAAGGGCGCCAACTAATGAAGGTATTTTTATTCCGAGGCTCCAATCATTGCAATTTATTTGCAAAACATTATCATTGCAAAGGTTTGAACTCTTTACAAATTGTTGAAAACATTTTTAGTACAAAAGAAATGGTATGTAAAATATTTATCTAAATATATACATAGTTTTGTAAAATCAATTATTTGTTAAATTTTTTGTAAATCTGGTATTTATAGTTGACCTTTGCAAACGGAGAGGGGGTGGAGCAATTAGGGACAGATAAAAAAGAATTTAATAAAAGAAAAATAACTTAATTATAATAAAGTAAAAGAAGAAATAATGGAAATTACATTGAAAAATATCGAGAAATTGATTACAAACAAACTCGAAGAACAAAAAAAGAGTATTTTAAAAGAAATGCCTGTTAAAGGATCAAGAATAAAATTTTACTGGTATAATTAGTGCAGATTTAAAAATATTCACTAATCGATTAGATAACGTTTATCCCTGTTCCTTGCAAGGAACAGGGATAAACGTTAATAAACATTTCGCTTAAGAAACGATAGAAAGTCGAAAAAAGTTGTGGGAAGGAGTCAAAAAGCTGCGACTTGAAGGTAAGTATGCAGTTACAAAGGCTTTAATAAGTGACTTAAAAACTCTTGCCCCTTAATTTTTTTTGAAACAAAATTTTTTTCATTACACGAAAACTTCGACCCAGATATTAATTATTTTCATGATACAAAAATGGAATGCTCTTACTATTATTATTTAAATGAATTAAAAGGAATTCTATTTCAGAATGTTAACATGGAAAGCATTAACAATTGAGATTATTGATGAACGAACAAAAAACATTCTAATTAGTCGCTGTTATCGACCGCCAGATGACGTGAGCGAGAACTTGAGCATGCTTTTACAGCGAAAATTTGTTGTGAAAGGTAACAACGAAAAGAAAAAAAACTTTCTAGTGGGTGATTTTAATATGAATTGTTTTGACTACAATGACGATAACAAAATTAGAAATTTTTATGATGCAATTTTTGAATTTGATATTTTTTTGATGCAATTCCTTTAATAAATCGTCCAACAAGAATAACAAAAAATTCAGCAACTTTGCTGGATAATATTATTTCCACAGACTTGTTGAACAGTGATATAAAATTGGGCATCTTAAAAACAGATCTTTCAGACTACTTTCCTATTTTTCTAACCATACACACTGACCAACCGCCTAAACAAAAATTAAATAAAGTTATAAAAAACTTTTTTTTAAACCATCGAATATTGAGTCTTTCAAAAATTAGCTTTCATTATTACATTGGAAACACTTAAATTTTAATGAAAGCGCAAACAACCTTTATGAAAAGTTCTTTGAAACATTCACCTCTGTTTACGAATCTAATTTACCAATTGTTCGGATCAACTCTGTCAAGTAAAATACCAAAAACCCAAATCTCTTTTTATTTTTTAATACCTATTGATAAAAATAATTGCTCTGAAGAATTGTCTGTCGAACTATCACTTGATGAGTTTGAAAAAGCTTTCAAATCTTTAAAAAAAAAATAAAGCACCTGGTGCAGATGAAATAAACGGAAATATTTTTATAGATTGCAACGAACAATTAAAAATATTTTTTTTAAAATTTTCAGAGCATCTATTTATCAAGGTATTTTGCCTGAACGTTCAAAACTTGCCAGGGTTACCCCTGTCCATAAAAAAGGCGACAGATCCAAGATATTAGTAATAATCGTTCCATCTCTGTTCTTTCTATATTTCTAAAATTTTAGAAAGAATTATCTTTAACAGGGTATACAATTATTTTAATTACGACAACTTACTTCATAACAATCAGTATGATTTCAGAAAAGGGAGTTCAACTGAACATGCCATTATTCAATTTATACATTACATCTCTGAATCTTTTGAAAATTCTCAATATACACTAGGTGTTTTTATTGACCTATCAAAAGCTTTTGATACGGTCGATCATCATATTTTAATCCAAAAAATTAAACATTACGGTTCAAACAATAGAATCTTAAAACGGTTTGAAAGCTATTTAACAAATTGAAACCAACTTGTGTATAGTAATGATGGTCATCAAAGTAAACCCCTGAGCATAACCTGTGGTGTTCCACATGGTTCTATTCTCGGACCACTACTATTTTTAATCTATTATTTCTAATTTCAAGTCTAAGTTCAATTAACTTTAAATATTAACAAAACAAAATGGATTAAAAAAACGTTTTTTACCAAGTAATATATCTCAAACTTATGGTGATGAAACGATAATAAAAAGAAATACTGTTATAAAATTCTTTGGTTTTTATCTTGATGAGAATATTACTTGGAGAAAACATAATGATTATGCAAGCACAAAAATTTTCAAAAATATTGGCATTTTATACAAAGCCCGAAGTTACCTTATATAAATTATGC